TTGAAGGGGATGCTGGGGCACACAGCTGACCACTGGGTGCGGCTGATCACGGCGCACTACAAGAGCCTGCACTGGGGAAGACGCACACCACAGAAGCCGGCGCTGCAGAAGCACCTATGCCAAGGACCCAGCGCTGGAGATGTGCACACGCCTGGGAACAGGCACTGGGGCGGCACCCAAGCCCGGCAGCCAGCGCTGGGGAAGCGGCACACCCCAGGGAGGTAGCGCTGGCAAAGCACACTCACCAGGAGTGGGCGCTTAATTAAAAGCCCGCACACACTCCGGGAGCTCAGCACTGGAGAAGCGTCACGTGTGTACCTGGGAACCAGTGCTGGAGAAAGTGCGTGGGAGCTGGCGTTGGAGAAGGCGCGCGCGCACGTGCACAAGCTCGCTCTGGAGGAGTCACGGCCACGCGCGTGTACGACAACCTGCACTGGAGAAGTCACATGCACGCGTGCACTGGAGAAACTGAATTTGTAATTTTAAATTTCACAATAAAGAAATATCCACGGCTGGGCGCGGTGGCTCAAGCCTGTAATCCCAGCACTTTGGGAGGCCGGGGCGGGCGGATCACGAGGTCAGGGGATCGAGACCATCCTGGCTAACACGGTGAAACCCCGTCTCTACTAAAAATACAAAAAATTAGCCGGGCGAGGTGGCGGGCGCCTGTGGTCCCAGCTACTCGGGAGGCTGAGGCAGGAGAAAGGCGTGTGCCCGGGAGGCGGAGCTTGCAGTGAGCCGAGATCGCGCCACTCACTCCAGCCTGGGAGACAGAGAGAGACTCCGTCTCAAAAAAAAAAAAAAAAAAAAAAAAGAAATATCCATGAACTGATGACTTTGTGAGTGAATTCTATCAAACATTTAAAGAAAAAAATACCAATCCTTCACAAATTCTGAAAAAAGAGGAGGGAACACTCCCAACTCATTATAAGATGCCAGTATTACGATAATACCAAAGCCAAAGACATTGCAAGACAAAATATTACTAATATTACTCATGAACATAATACAAAAATCCTAAACAAAATATTACTAAACCAAATCCAGCAATACGTAAAAAGGGTTATATAACCAAATGGGATTTAGAATGCAAGGTTAGTATAAATACACAAATCAGTTAATAAATCATATTGATAAAGGAATAAAACCAGTCATCTCAATAGATGCAGAAAAGCAACATTTCTAACATTTGTTCATAAGAATTCTCAACAGTCTAGTAATAAAAGGAAAATCCTTCAAGCTGATAAAGTGCATTTATGAAAAACTTACAGTTAACATCGTATCTAACAGTAAAAGATTAAATGTTTTCCCCCTAAGATGAGAAATAAGTTAATAATATACACTCCATGTCTATTCAGCAAACTGCTGGAGGGTCAAACCAGGCAAAAAATAAATTAATCAGGGACAAAAGAAATTAAAGGTATCCACATGGAAAGAAAAGAAGTAAAACTGTCTTTATTGGCATGATGCCGTATGTAAAAAATCCTCTGTAATTCACAAAAAACTGGAAGTAATCATCAAGTTCAACAACGAAGGTTGTAAGATACAAGATTAATAAATCAAGTGCATGTTTATATACTAACAACAATCCATAATGAAATTTTAAAAATAATTCGGCTGCTTGGCTGCTCTGTCCATGGAGTAGCCATTCTCTATTCCTTTGCTTTCTTAATAAACTTGCTTTCGGCCGGGCGCTGAAAGCAAGATTACTGGGTTACAAAGATTACAAAGTGCTGGGATTACTCACACCTGTAATCCCAGCACTTTGGGAGGCCAAGGCGGGCGGATCACGAGGATCACGAAGTCAGGAGATTGGACCAGCCTGGCCAATACGGTGAAACTCTGCCTCTACTAAAAATACAAAAATTAGCAGGTGCTTGTAGCCCCAGCTACTCAGGAAGCTGAGGCAGAAGAATCACTTGAACCTGAGAGGCGGAGATTACAGTGAGCTGAGATCATGCCACTGCACTCCAGCCTGAGCAAACACAGAGGGACTCTGTCTCAAAAAAAACAAACAAACAAACAAACACTTGCTTTCGCTTTATCGATAAAAAAATTTTAATGAAATTTTAAAAATTCAATTCACAACACCATCAAAAACACTTCAAAATTAATTTACAAAAGGGCAAAATTTGTACACTGAAAATTACTAAATATTGTTGAGAGAAATTAAAGATCTCAACAAATGGAAAGAGATTTCATGTTCACGGTGAGATGGCAATTCTCCCCCAAATAGTTATGCAAAATTAAATGCAATTCCTACAAAGTCTATCACAGCATGGTTTTTTGAAAAAAATGACAAATTGATACTAAACTTTATATGGAAATGTAAGGAACCCTGAACAGCCAAAAGAATTTTGAAAATGAAGAAAAACATTAGATAACTTATACTACCTTGATATGAACTTATAAACATACACTTGATTTATTAATCTTGTATCTTACAACCTTCGTTGTTGAACTTGATGATTACTTCCAGTTTTTTGTGAATTACAGAGGATTTTTTACATACGGCATCATGCCAATAAAGACAGTTTTACTTCTTTTCTTTCCATGTGGATACCTTTAATTTCAAAACTTACTATAAAGCTGTCATAATCGAGACAGTGTGATGCTGATATAAAAGGCATACAGGCCTCTTGCCCTCAGTCCCGTATTAAACTTGAGTTAGAAGATGCCAATCTCAAAATGAAGGCAAAACCATTGCCTGCTAGCCCCCAGTCCAACTTCGGTGGCCAATCTGAATTATCATTTTTTTTTTTCCAGACACGGTCTCAGTCTGTTGCCCAGGGTGGAGTGCAGTGGTGCAATCACAGTTCACTGTGTCCTCGACCTCCTGAACTCAGGTGATCCTCCACCTCAGCCTTGGGACTAGCTGAGACCACAGCCCCACTCACTATGCCCAGCTAATTTCTTAACATTTTGTAGAGACAGGGCTCTCTCTGTTGCTCGAGCTGGACTCGAACTCCTGGGATCAAGTGATCCTTCCACCTCAGCCTCCCAAAGTGCTGGGATGACAGGCATGAGCCACCATGCTCTGCTTGTTATCTGAATTGTCTTTCCTTCTCCACTTCTGCATTTTTATTAAAACACTGCAAAAATTGAATGTACTTCTCCTGTCTGTATTCTTTCACATTAAGTCAATCACTCAAGATCCATAAACAAGACAGAGAACACACATATCCCAGTCTAAAATAAAACTTTTTAAAATCATTTGGTGCTCATTTCCAGCCTGATTTGAGGCCCTACCACTACCAACTTGGAACTACCACCCATGTGAGTTTCCTTTGGCTCTCTCCATGGCCCAGATAATCAATCCAACTTTCTACTGGACAGGCTGGTCTCCCTGTAGCTGGTTTTCATAAACACGAAATTCGTATAATTGTTATTGGAACTACAAGCTGAAATATGGAACTCGTTAAAAGTACCATTTATTTTCAAATGTACATGCACAGTTGCACATACATGCAGCAACACATCCTCCACATCCAGCCAATCAATCAAGTTAATGCTTTTTATTAGAGAACAGAACAAAAAATACCAATATAGAGCCTGCTTGTCTTTTCTGAGGTCTTGGTAAATGTTTTTCAAGAAATCAAGAGAAAATATGACCGGATAAAGCAAAAATAAATTCGAATGTAGAATATACAAAGTATAATTAGTCCAATTCTCAAGAAGCAGGATCTTTTACTGGGGGTAGTGAGCTGGTGAAAAAGACCTCTGATATATCTAGGAAAACAAATTCTTTTTTGATGCAGCCTTTCTTGTGTATGAATAATGTATATGAGTGCTTATTTCCAGGTGACTCTGGTACAGCACATTACATTGAAACATCAATTTAAGTTTAACGTATAAAGTCGCAATGAACATGTTTTCTATCTAAGCTTATGTAATGAATGATCTCAACACATGGTATGAATTCTATCGCTTGTAACAACCCTTGAGGGGAGTAAGAAGAAAACGATCTGTCTGACGGCATATCACTGACAGTGATTGACAGCCACAAAGAGCTGAAGTTGGGTGGCCCGAAAGTGCTCTGCTCATTTGATAAATGCTAAGTCAAATCACATCACAGTTTAGATGCATTAAACGGGGCACAGGTTAGAATAAAACCAGGTGCCCGGGAGTTTTCCAAATTTCAGATTAGAACAAAAGTCCAGGCACATACAGGTCTTTGCTAGAAAAGTCCTTGGTCTCTTCCCTGAAGATTCTGGTGCCCAATTTCCCATGTTATAAAACTCCAAATCTTTTCCCCCATTCGCTGCGCTGGACACGTAAGATTACAGAGGGTTCGTAGTTGCAAACGCACCCACCTAAAAAATTTAAAAGAGCAAAACCAACCAACAAACAGCACCTGAAAAATCTCTCACGGGCTTCGAAGGAGATGTGGCCTGGCGTCCACAAAAAGAGCGAAGGGAAGACACTGGCCCCCGCGAACCCGCCTCCCTCCGGGAAGGAAAGGCGGAGGGCGGGAGGGCAACACCGCGCCCCTCCCGGCGCCCCGGCGACTCGGGCTGGGGGGCAGGGGTGCGAGGGCCGGGGAGGACGAGGCCCGCCGTCGAGGGCGACCAGCTCAAACGGGCGAGCTTTTCACGGCTGCCACGGGTCCGAGGCGGGGAAATTCACCTTCGCTCCTGTCCTTCGAAGAGGACATAGCCGCCTGCGCTCAATGAACAAAAACCACCAAAACGCCACTCCCGGCTCCCGCCTCCCCGGGGGCTCCCTCCGCGAGACCCCAGCGCCGGCTCCCGCCCCGGCTCGCCCCGCCCCGCCCCGCCCCTCGGGCTGGCACCGCCCGCCACCTCCCGCCTCTGCCTCAGCCCCGGCCTCAGCCTGCGCCGGCGGGAACCCCTCTCGCCCACCGCGAGGCCCGCCGCGCCCACCCGCTCTCGCGAGCCTTCCCGCGCCCCTCGCCGCCTCCTCCCGCTCCGCCGCTGACGTGTCGGCCAGACCCCCGGGGAAGCCTCCGCCCTCGCCGCCTCCTGCGGCCTGCCGCTTACCGGGTGGTCCTCGCGGGAGCTGCTTCAGCAGTTTGGGCAGCGGCGGAAAGGAAGCCACCGCCCGGGACCTGTGGCTTGAAAATTTGGCTTTGCCTCGGATTGGCTTTTCGTTTTGAGGGTTTTGGAATTTTCCCGCGGTGGCTCGGCAGCGGGGCTGCGCGCGCACACGTGTGAGCGGTGCATTCTGGGGCCTGGCGAGCGGCCTCGCGGGAAAATTCCGACGAATCTCGGGTCCGTGGGGCGGGGCGGGCGCGTCCGGGACGCTGGCGGAAGTGGGCCCGGCTGGGGCGGGCGCTGGGTGCGCGGAGTCGGTACCGCTCGGGTGTTCCCGGGCTCGCGAGGAGGCCCCGCGGGGAGCAGCCGCGGCAGCGCCCGCGTAGAAGGGGCGCTGGCTTCTTCCATGGTCTGTTCAAAGTGTAGGGGAGATAAAACGGAAATTACTTCTTTGGAAGAAAAGTTGAGTTTTTCTCAACGGGGTAAAACCTCTAAAGATTGTCTAACTGCGTTCTCAGCGACACCCACAAAAAAGCCATCTTCAGTTAAGGATTTCCCCGGCCGCGCGTCAGTTCCATCCAGTGTGTGGTCGGGTTCAAGTCAGTTCAACGCTGCACTTAAACCACCCAAACAAATACTAATAGAATTGTCTCCAAACTCCCGTTTATGACAATGGCATTAGCTTGTCTTGGTGAATTCTCTTTTCAACTAGAATCTGACGAATTAAGCTTTAAAATGCCTTAAATCAATGCCTCATAACCATAAATCATAATCATAAAACTACAGCTTGGGCCGGGCGCGGTGGCTCAAGCCTGTAATCCCAGCACTTTGGGAGGCCGAGGCGGGCGGATCACGAGGTCAGGAGATCGAGACCATCCTGGCTAACACGGTGAAACCCCGTCTCTACTAAAAATACAAAAAATTAGCCGGGTGAGGTGGCGGCGCCTGTAGTCCCAGCTACTCGGGAGGCTGAGGCAGGAGAATGGTGTGAACCCGGGAGTCGGAGGTTGCAGTGAGATCGCACCACTGCACTCCAGCCTGGCGACAGAGGGAGACTCCGTCTCAAAACAAACCAAAAAACTACAACTTCACATATACGTTCAAAAACACTACAGGTGGGGTGCGGTGGCTCACACCCCCAATCCCAGCATTTTGGGAGGCCGAGGCAGGTGGATCACCTGTGGTCAGAAGTTTGAGACCAGCCTGGTCAACATAGCAAAAAACCGTCTCTACTAAAAATACAAAAATTAGTGTGTACTCCCAGCTACTTAGGAGGCTGAGGCAGGAGAATTGCTTGAACCCAGGAGGCGATCGAAGGTTGCAGTAAGCCAAGATCACACTACTGCACTCCAGCCTGGGCAACAATGCGAGACTCCGTCTCAAAAAACACCACCACAAAGCTATGTGTGCTTGTAATAAAAATAGCTCTCAAGTATTTAAACACTTCCAACTATTCCTATGGTGAAGAAATACCCATTTTACCAATGAATACTTTCAATTCAGAGACTAATTTGCAGAGGTTATACATTTGTAAGTGATACAATAAGTATGTAGCATAGCGGTAGCAACAATCTTTTTAAGAATTAAAGGTAGTTACAAAAAGGAACCGATCCAGAGGTTGAGACAAAACTGGCAGAATCTGCAACTGCATTAAGGAATTCGGTGTTTAAATCCATTCTTGAAACTATTCCCTGCCAGTTAAGGAAGTCGGTGCTTTTTGATTGTTTTTTAATTTTAGATTCCGGGGCGGGTACATGTGCTTGTTTGTTACATAGGTATATTGTGTAATGTTGGGGATTAGGCTTCTGGTGTACCTGTCACCCAACTATTGAACATTGTACCCAATAGGTAATTTTTCAGCCCTCACCTCCCTCCCACCCTCTCCCTTTTTGGAGTCCCCAGTGTCTTGTTATTCCCATTCTTATGTGCATGTATACCTATCGTTTAGCTCCCACTTATGAGAACATGCAGTATTTGATTTTCTGTTTCTGAGTTTGTTCACTTAGGATGATGGCCTCCAGCTCCATCCATGTTGCTGCAAAAGACATGATTTCATTCTGTTTTACAGCAGAGAGGTCGATGCGTTTCTGATGTGTGCATAGTGTGACGTGGATAAATCAAAAGCAAGTCCTGGGTAGGGAGATACATGCCTGAGGGGCACGCATCGTGGTACCTTGACCATGAGAAAGTCACCTCTGTGGTAACAAATCGAGAGTGAGCTAGTGTTTAAGTTCTGCATTTACCAGCAAAGAAAGCAAGTCAAGTATGTATTTCTTTAGAGAAACTATCGATTTTGGTACCCACATCCTTTTACATATTTGCTGAAAAATCATTTTTAGTGTTTGTTAATGATTGATGTCTTGCCATATCCCAATTTTCTGTCTTTAGTTCAGTGGTTAATAAAGAATTGCTAGGCTCATCCAACTTTGCAGTATATGACATGACACCATGTTTAGGCCTCATTTAGACCTAAATGGGAAGCATACATAGCATAAAGATCCAAACTTAAATTTATAGGGATTCATTTTGCCTGGCATTCATATACATGGACCTATCTTAATAATATTTTAAGCAATAATGAGATGTTCACTTTGTAAAATGCCCGGAAAGTTTCCAGAGAAACAGATACTTCAATACAAACCCTCTTTTTAATTGAATCATAAAATTGATTATGGGTGATCCGGGGTGTGGGTGTGTGTGTGTATGGGGTTTGATTTGTTTGAGACTGGGTCTCACTCTCACCCAGGCTGAAGTGCAGTGGTGCAAACACAGCTCCCTGCAACCTCGACCTTCTGCGCTCAAGCAATCCAACGGCCTCAGCAGCACCCAAGTGTTGGAGTTACAGGCGTGGGTCACCGCCTCAGCGGCACCCAAGTGTTGGAGTTACAGGCGTGGGTCACCGCCTCAGCAGCACCAAAGTGTTGGAGTTACAGGCATGGGTCACCGGGCCCACATATGTGTTATTCTGAAACACAGTTTTGGTTGCAGAGTATAGAACCCAATCACAAATCATGTAGCAAAAATGAAAAATGGCCTATTTAGGTGAAAATTATTACATTGTTTACATTAAATCTTTACATTCTAGAGGAAAACAACACAATTGGCTGAGTGCTGCCAAGTTCCTGACATTATCAAACCTTCCTTCAAAGTTCAACAAACAGAATCAACTGTCTTAGAATCCACGTTGTGGAAACCATTGCACCAAGACTCCTACTTCCAGAATTAGTTCAGACACCACCCACCTGGTTTCCAGTCCTTATTTGGCACCCCAACATTTAACATTATCTTTTCTTTCTTTCTTTTTTCAAATTTTTTTTCTGAGACAGAGTCTCACTCGGTGGCCCAGGCTGGAGCGCAGTAGCATGATCTCAGCTCAGTTCACCGCAACCTCCGCCTCCCTGGTTCAAGCGATTCTTGTGCTTCAGCCTCGCGAGTAGCTGGGATTACAGGCACGTGCCATCACGCCCTTAACACTATCTTGTCCATGGCTTTGATATTTGCCTCTTGTGCCTCAGTTGTGAATAATGCATGTTGAAGTTCCAGGCACTGGGCTAACTCCTTAGCCTGGGTTATTTCCTTTGATTCTCACAGTGATCTTATGTAATCCACAGTGGTAATACTCTACTTTCACAGATACAGGAACTCACGCACAGAGCCATCTCTTCTAGTGGAGGGTGGAACCTGACTTCAACTCCATTCACAGTGGCTTCGTACTTACAGTGTTCTTGCTCCTGGCCGGGCTGATGACTTGGAGATAGGGCACAGGGTAAGGTGATCCCAGAGGCTTCTACACTCTCATCACCACATTACTTTCCCATTAAAACATTCCTGCTGAGGAAATGTCAGTTGAATTAGAGAAGAGAACAATGAGAATTTTTTTGTGCCAGAAACACTTTGAGAAATGGAGCAGATAATAGTGCAGGGCTTTGATCTGCCACCCCGAAGGGGAATAGGCCAAGGAAGGGATGGCTGCAGGGATGGAAATTCATGGAAAAAGGGAAATGTATTATAAATGCTGCAGGGAATCTGCCCCTTCTACCCCTGACATGCTCACTCCCTAGGCTCTGCTGAAAGAATGCACCTAGGAGGACATGTTTGTACTAGAGCCTCCATTGCTAGCCACAGCTAATTGAACCAGGGATGGTAGCCTGACCCTAGCTGAACGAATCAAACTATTGCTGGGGAATTTGGAATTGCAACACTGAGAGACTGTAACACCTCTATACAACAGGAGCTAAAGCCCTCATGCCAACTGGAGTTATGGGGGGAAGAAAAAAATGTAAGTAGCAAAGAAAGTTGGCTGGCAGAGAAAAGCAAAATGAGGTTGAAAGGCTATTATTTATTCTGTGAGAGAGAGGGGAGCTTCCATTCCTTATTTTTTATTTTTAAGCCCAATTTTAAGGTAAACTGACTATATTTTTTTTTCTGTTCTTAGTGGTCCACAAGATTCCCCCATATCCTTGCAACAATCACCCCTTTACCTATGCTGACTTCAGTGAGTTTCTCTCCCTCACTGCAAAGCAAGCCCTGACTAAGAACCTGGAGGTGGCAGCTCTTCATTGTGTCACTGGGCATCAGCACTTTGACTGAGCCTAATTTAATTGATAAATTAATCAATAGACACCTAATGCGAGATTACTATAGGGAACAAAAAATAGCTTTTCCGTACCCATCCTAGGTTCATGGCTGAGGCCTCCATGATAAAAGACAGATTAACAAGAGCAAAGCATAGATGTTGCATGTAAGTTTCCCATGACATAGGAGCCTTCCTAAGGAAAGGAAGACCCAGAGCAGCTGTTAAACTTGTGTGTTTCTATGCTGGGTTTCATGAAGAGTGACAGTTGTGGGGAGATATAGTTGAACAAAGATGGGAATAAACTGGGGGAGAATTTAGCAAGGTTTATTTGTTCAGATTTTTCTCTGTAACCCTTCAGTCTTCAGAGATAAGAAAGTACCTTTCTGGTGGATACAGTACTGTGGATATAGGCAGCACTTCTTACATGAGGGTCTTAGGACCTGCTTCATGGAAAGTTCAGAAAATCATTCCAAGGTTTTATGACCTGCATCAGGAGAAAGGAGAGGAGAGAAGGTGAGAGTGACCTTCCAGCTTCTGCCATGTTTTCAAATGTCAGTATGCCATATTTAGGAGTGGCATGTTCTGCACACAATCACTACCAAGCATAAAGCACAAAGCTAGGCTGTATGAAAGACACAGATCTAAGTATTTTAGAGTTAAAAGAAAGCAGGAGTTGTCTAGAATTTTGGATTTGGAGTGGAGGGGGCCAGTAAAATGTCCATAATATTAGAAGTTAACAGAGTTAACAACTTTATATTTGGTCAAGTAAAGACCTTAGGAGAAAAAAGTCTGCCATAATTATAATTTCATTTTTTAAGAAATGTATTTTTAACTTTAAGATGAAGGAAAAAAGTCTCAAAGAGCAGTCTTCTAAATTGAATAAGTTTTATTTCATGAAAAACTCATTACATTGTTTTTATTCATCTCATTTTACCACTTCCTCCCCTTGTTAGTATCAGAACACTGCTTTTATTTAGCATGGCAATGTGCCCAATAAAAGGGACCACCTTCCCCAGACTCCATTCTGACTAGGGGTGGCCAGCAACTCAGCTGTCGCCAGTGAGAGAGAAAAGGTGGAAAGACCAGAGGCCAGGAGATATTTAGCCTTCTTCCCCTCTCTCCTGCTTCCTAGTTAGAATAAGGGCTGAAGGGCTTAAGCTCCAGTCATCCTGGACTGTAAACAACTCTTAAAGATGATAGTCATGGAATGAGGATGGCAGAGAAAAAAAAAAAAAAAGGGCTGGGCACAGTGGCTCATGCCTGTAATCCCAGCACTTTGGGAGGCTAAGGCGGGTGGATTATCTGAGGTCAGAAGTTTGAGACCAGCCTGACTACCATGGAGAAACCCCATCTCTACTAAAAAAAATACAAAATTAACCAGGCATGGTGGCGCATGTCTGTAATCCCAGGTACTTGGGAGGCTGAGGCAGGAGAATCACTTGAACCTGGGGGGCAGAGGTTACAGTGAGGCAAGATCGCGCCATTGCACTCCAGCCTGGGCAACAAGAGTGAAACGCTGTCTCAAAAAAAAAAAAAAAAAAAAAAAAAAAGAAAGAAAACAAGAAAAAGAAAAAAGAAAAAAAAAGGAGGACCCTGGGTCCCCAGTAATCATGAGAGTTACCTGGCTTGCCTAACTCTGGACTTTATAATTGCAAAAACCTCAAATATCTGCGACAGGTCTCAGTTAATTTAGAAAGTTTATTTTGCCAGCAGGGCACAGTGGCTCACGCCTGTAATCCCAACACTTTGGGAGGCCGAGGCGGGCGGATCACGAGGTCAGGAGATCGAGACCATGGTGACTAACACAGTGAAACCCCACCTCTACTAAAAATACAAAAAACTAGCCAGGCGAGGTGGCGGCACCTGTAGTCCCAGCTACTGGGGAGGCTGAGGCAGGAAAATGGCGTGAACCCAGGAGGCAGAGCTTGCAGTGAGCCGAGATCGTGCCACTGCACTCCAGCCTGGGTGACAAAGCAAGACTCCATCTCAAAAAAAAAAAAAAGAAAGTTTATTTTGCCAAGGTTGAGGACTCACACCCATAACACAGGCTCAGAGGTCCTGATGACATGTGCCCAACGTGATCAGAACACAGTTTGGTTTTATACATTTTAGGAAGACATGAGACAGCAGTGAACATATGTAAGATAAATATTGTTTTGGTCCAGGAAAGGCAGGATGACTCAAAGCAAAGGTGGGACAACTTGAAGTGGGGAGGGGGCTTCCAGGTCATAGGTAGATAAGAGACAAATGGGTGCATTCTTTTGAGTTTCTGTTGACCCTCTCCAAAGGAGGCAATCAGATATACATTTATTTCGGTGAGCAGAGGGGTGACTTTGAATAGAATGGGAGGCAAGTTTACCCTAAGCAGTTCCCAGTTTGACTTTTCCCTTTACCTTAGTGATCTTGGGGCCCCCAGATTTATTTTCCTTCCATATTTCCCCCCTTTTCTTTTTAAAAATATTTAGTAGAAGTAATTTTAGAAGAAAATGAGTCTCTGGTCTCAACTTTTGTCTGATCTCTGATGGCTAGCATGGTTTATTCCTCAATGGGTAGGTCCCGAGTTATTAGGAAAGTTCATTTTTACCAGGTTGTGAAATGTTATGTTTTATGAAGAGAAAATAGCAGGAGGAAAGGGAAGAAAACAACAACAAACAAAAGAACAAGCTTGGAAAATGGGTACAGGCCATATGATTCTGAAGTGCATACATCAGTAGGTAGGCATGAAAGTGGATTATGTATGTAAATAGGTTGCTGTTATTTTCTTCTGAAGTTTAAGTTGTCTAGCTTCAGTTTGCAGGGCTTTACAAAAGTGCAGCTTAATTTTCAGTGACTCCAAATTAGGAAAAATGGGGGGTAAAAGAAGGAAAAAATGAAAACATGATTTTGAAGACTTATAGCCAAGGAAAATTAGAATTCAGCCCAAACTATAGAAAATAATAAAAATTGGAAAGCATTAGGCAAGACTCAAATGTAACAACAGGTGTGCTATAGTTTTTGAAACATAATTTTTCTCTCTCCAGTTTCCCATTTTTACTACAGCCAAATCATGGTAGGACTGATTTGCTTTATTACACTTGAAATGACAATTTGTATACAGTGGAGCAAGAATAATTATTTGTTTACATAGCCTTTTAAATTGCCTTTGATGGAACTTTGTTCCATAGAAGGAATCTCAGATAAGACTTTTTTAAAGCCCAGCCATGGATTTGTACCATCAAATACCTATGAGTTGGTGAATTTCTCTACTTCTAAGGTTCCAAGATAAACTTGGGGCTCCTGGGCCTGTCAGAAAGTTACATTATTTACTTACCACAGGTCACGAACCCTGTACAGGGGCTGTGTAAACAAGGTATGAGGCCTGTTTTCCCAAGGGGCTTTTATTGGCTCCATAAGTCAAGTTTGATTCCTTAAAGGAAAGCACATCATTCCAGTCAAAGCCTAGGTAAAATAACCAGTTTCACCAATTGTGTTCTGTTATAAATGAAGACATATTCTTATTGCACTTATGCAAATAACTATATTGCCATAAGTTAAGAATATTCACAAATGGTTTCCAAATTCTGGAGAAATCAGGTAGACAGAAACAAATATGTTCTAAATTTTGTTCACAGAAGTGTACTAAATTGTTAAAAGCTGTTAATAGCTCAAAAAAAGTTTCTCTGACTCTAAAGAAACAAAACAAAGGATGAGAAATGTTGTAAGCAAAAAGTCAAAAAGATTACTTTAGTTTTCTATTAGTTCAATCCATGTAGTTAATTTCTGTTCTGCTTGATATTCATAAACATTTCAGTTCTCCATGAATCCCAAAAGTTTTTCTCCTATTCTGATGTCACACTTTCCAAAGTTATCAGAAACTTATATTCAAGAGCACCTGTTAGAGTTTTATAGCTGATTATAAAGCCACCTTCTAAAGAGGACCAAAATGAGACAATTGTCTGAGGATGACAAAAAGTTTTAGGGCAGCCATAGTCAAAGACACAGTTGACAAGGAAATTTGTTACCTCTGTGGCACATAATAATCTAACTTAACAATTATAATTATTACTGATAATGTACAGTAAGACATATCAGAATCATAGGCGTTTCCCCTAATTTTGGAACACATACCAATAACATAATTATACAAATACAGCCCAAAGAAAACTAAACACCATTTCACATTTGACAATGTTTCCTGTATAATTTTTATACCAATAAGCCAAATTATGTCATTTTTGGACTTTAGGGATTAGATCAGAAAAAGACATTTATCATTTGATTTTAGAAAGTTTGTCAAATATCAAAGGTTTAAAACACTTGATATCACACATCACTGTAAAATAAGTCATTCATTTGACCAAAGTGATAACTCAAGAATTTCCAAAAAAGGTGAAAACCTTCATTCTTTGAGAGAGGAGACTTAATTTTTCAAACAATAAGTCCTAATAAAAACAGCATGAAGCCAACTAAATTTTTTTCAAAATTTTATGAACAATCTATAAGATTTTTATCTTGACCATAAGATATAACCTACATAAGCCTTTTATAACCTTCATAACCTTTATTAAGGAGGTGGTTAATGCTTCAAGAAAACCTTGTTAATCTGACAGAGTGGTGCATATTGATGGTCTTGCATCAGAGTGCCTTTAACATTAATGGTTAATTTACAGGAAAACTGACCTTATCTTATCTCTCAAAATTGGCCCTTACCCTCTCACACACCCACATCTTCTGCAATAGTCCCCGATCCTTGAGTTGTGGAATAGCTTTAATTTCTGACCCTGTGTCTCAGGAATGCAGTTTGTTTTGATAGATATTTTCTATGAGGCCTGAAGATGAGGCTTTAATTGCTGTCAGAGTTTAAGATTTAGCAGGATTTGGTGTCCTTTTAGACCCAGTACTGGAAGCCCTGTAACTCAATGTCAAAAGGATTTTAAAAGCCCATACAGAAAGATACAAGGATGTAATAACCTTAATTTAAAAAAATACATTTTAATCTCTTTTTTTTTCCTAAGGAAACCAAAAACTTAATAATAATGGCATAGGAATTGTTTCAATAAACCATAAAACCTATTAGGCCAGTTCCTAAAAGGCAAAAGAGAAGAGCTTCTGCACTGCACAGAATATTATGTTGGAAGAAAACATTTCCCTTACACCTTTAAGAAAATATTGTTAGCATCAGGCCACAACAAACAGAACTTGAGGAAAAAAACCTTATATTACTTGAAAGATGAGTTGGAGAGTGTTACTATATCTCAACGTTTCAAAGAGGAGAGAAAACCGAAAATGGCAAGCTGCAATAAAAGTTGAAAATCAGGTTAAAAAAAAAATTAACATCTCTAGGCTGGGCGCAGTGATTCACACCTGTAATCCCAGCACTTTGGGAGGCCAACACGGGTGGATCATGAGATCAGGAGTTTGAGACCAGCCTGGCTAGCATGGTGAAACCCCTCTCTACTAAAAATACAAAAAATATGCCGGGCATGGTGGTACGTGCCTGTGATCCCAGCTACTCGGGAGGCTGAGGCAGGAAAATTACTTGAATCTGGGAGGTGGAGATTGCAGTGAGCCAAGATCATGCCACTGCACTCCAGCCTGAGCGACAAGCAAGACTCTGTCTCAAAAAAAAAAAAAAGAAAAAAAAATCTCTTGTAATTTATTAAAAGTAAGTCAACCCCTCAAGAAAATTTCATTGTTCTGGCCGGGCGCGGTGGCTCAAGCCTGTAATCCCAGCACTTTGGGAGGCCGAGACGGGCGGATCACGAGGTCAGGAGATCAAGACCGTCCTGGCTAACACGGTGAAACCCCGTCTCTACTAAAAAATACAAAAAAGTAGCCGGGTGAGGTGGCAGTCGCCTGTAGTCCCAGCTACTCGGGAGGCTGAGGCAGGAGAATGGCGTAAACCTGGGAGGCAGAGCTTGCAGTGAGCTGAGATCCGGCCACTGCACCCCAGCCTGGGCGGCAGAGCAAGACTCCATCTCAAAAAAAAAAAAAAAGAAAATTTCATTGTTCTGACCGGGCATGGTGGTGCATGCCTATAATCCCAGCACTCTGGGAGGCCGAGGTGGGCAGATCACAAGGTCAAGAGATCAAGACTATTGTGGCCAATATGGAGAAACCCTGTCTCTACTAAAAATACAAAAACTAGCTGGGCGTGGTGGTGCGTGCCTATAGTCCCAGCTACTTGGGAGGCTGAGGCAGGAGAATCGCTTGAACCCAGAAGGTGGAGGTTGCAGTGAGCTGAGATTGTGCCACTGCACTCCAGCCTGGCAACACAGTGAGACTCCTGAGAAAAAAAAAATCCATTGTTCTAACCAACTGTTTAGTGTATAAGTGGTTTTTTGGGGTTTTTTTGTTTTTTTTTTTTTACATCAAGCCCAATCTCTAGAAAGAACACTGCAATTTCCCTTTAATTAATAGACAATTTGATCATATAAAAGTTTTGGGTTTTTTAATATAAATCCTCTTATTGTGACTTACACAGACTATTCATGACATGCTTAGACTTTCTGGTTTGTCCTGAACATCCCTCTTTGTTAAACAACCAGTCATTTTATTTTAGGACTAAATTTACCATACAAGATTCTTTCTCATATAAAATTATTTATCTTTAAGCTTCTTACCAAAAAAAAACCCTCTTTATTTTTACAACCTGCATTACCTCTCTCTTATTTCCTGGCTCCTTTTACCTTGTTTTATATGTACCATTTATATAAGGTTTGAATTAGACAAAAATTGTTCACCTTTTTAAAAAGGACACACTTTTTTGAAATAATGTTTTCCTATAATATAGTTTTATTGGAAAATACCCAAATAATGAAATATCTATTATTTAATTTAATATAATTTTAGATTCCAAATTATGATGAGTTTGTCTACAAGTATTTATCCCATTACATTTGGTTAATTATTGTATTTTAATCATTTACCTAGATTATTTATGAAAACTACAATAGTCTTCATTTAAAGTTATGGAACTGCCATTGCAAAATTATAACTAACATAGTGAAAAAATCTGACCTAACTGACTCCATCTTGCTTCTAACTTCCAAGCTGTTCATGTTTATTCCTGGATATAGGCTGAGCTAACTTTGGGAGGAACTTAGTTTACAGTTTAGCTTTGAAACAAAGATGATAACAGTCCTTTCCCAAAACAAACCTTACTGCTTGTGGACTAGACTGCCTAAAGTCACAAGATTAGAAGTTATGGTAATCTTACTAAATTTAAGATGTAGCTATTTTCATTAAACCTATATCTATGTCTTATTTATTAAACTTACAGCCAGGTGCAGTGGCTCATGCCTGTAATCCCAGCACTTTTGGAGGCTGAGGTAGGCGGATCACTGGAAGTCAGGAGTTCAAGACCAGCCTGGCCAACATGGTGAAACCCCATCTCTACTAAAAATACAAAAATTAGCTGGGTGTGGTGACTGGTGCCTGTAATCCCAGCTACCTGGGAGGCTGAGGCAGGAGAATCACTTGAGCCTGGAAAGTGGAGGTTGTAGTGAGCTGAGATCACACCACTGCACTCCAAACTGGGCAACAGAGAAAGACTTTGTCTAAAAAAAAAAAAAATTACATAAGCAAAGATCATTCTGTCTTGGGCTGGGGCTGGGTCTGTAATTTTGTAGCCCCTATGCCAAATTTTGACACCCTATAGGATTTGGCAGAGATAAGCATGAAATTGCTTGATTAACAAATGCAAACAAAAATATATACTGGCAATTCCCATTTCTAACATTACTTCACCAATAATTTCTTTTTTTTTTTTTTTTTTTTTTTTTTTTGAGACGGAGTCTCGCTGTGTTGCCCAGGCTGGAGTGCAGTGGCCGGATCTCAGCTCACTGCAAGCTCCGCCCCCCGGGTTTACACCATTCTCCTGCCTCAGCCTCCCGAGCAGCTGGGACTACAGGCGCGCGCCACCTTGCCCGGCTAGTTTTTTGTATTTTTTAGTAGAGGCGGGGTTTCACCGTGTTAGCCAGGATGGTCTCAATCTCCTGCCCTCGTGATCCGCCCGTCTCGGCCTCCCAAAGTGCTGGGATTACAGGCTTGAGCCACCGCGCCCGGCCCACCAATAATTTCAAAGCTAGTTTATTTATTAAAAGATTTTACTTAATTTATGTAAACTTGAAAAAGCATTTGACTAGTCTTCTTTTTTCCTGATAAAATATTTGGTTCAACCACCTTTACTTTCTTAAGCCAATTAATTGGAGTTCCTTTATATATTTTCAGTAGTGAAACACTGTGTACACAACACATAAATACATAGATGTGTTAGGCATGTCGATAGAAATACATCTCATAGATTCGTAAGAGCTTTTTCTTTTCCTATCTTAGACTTCCAAATTCTTTTTTCTTTTCTTTCTTTCTTTTTTTCCTTTTTTTTTTTTTTTTAGACAGAGTCTCGCTGTGTCACTCAGGCTGAAG